CCCCGACCCCCCGGCCCCTCCACCCCGGGCCGGCCACAGGCCCCCACCCGGTCCCCCGCGGCGCCGCCTGGAGGCGCCTGCGGGCGCCCAGCCAGAGTTCCCTAACGCTTGGGTCCCGGGGCCACTGACCTTGATGTTTGGCCCCCAAATTCACCTGGGGACCCCGGGCCCTCATTCAAAATGTTGTCCTAGCCACCTAGACCCTATCCAACCTGGTCCTCTAGAATCCCTGAGTGTGCACTCGCACCTCAGCTGTAGCTAAACACCCAGACCCTGAATCTGCGCCTCTCAGAACCTACTCGCCACTTATTTTCTCAAACCTCCAAATCCTACTACTTGCAGAATTTTATCCTGTGCTCCCCACATCATCAGTTAGATGGTCTCAAACATTCATCCAAGGTTTCCGGACATAAAGTTAATTGTCCCTCTCCCTCCGGCCATGAGCTCCGCGGCCTCCAGGTGGTCGCTCTACTCAGGGCACTGCTTCCCCGGAGCCTGCCTGCACAAAGCTACGCTAATGTGGGGGTGAGGGCAGCTGTCGTCTTGGCCCGAAATGAATGGAATCCCCGAGAAACTGGCAAACTTGAACTTGGGCGCAGAGGACACTAGGGCCCACTGCCAGCCCTTTTCCGACCCTCTTTCCCTTCAGGTCCCCCACCCAGTTTCCGTCTTGGTCCCCAGCAAAGATCATGCCTTGAGGGAGGAGCCGGTGTGCCTCCGGCTCCCAGGAAGGGGCGAATGGGCGGGACTTCGCGTTGCCCACGTCTCAGGGCGGGACTAGACGGGAAAGGACTGCGTGTCCAGGGTTCCCTTGCCTGGCCCTTGCTGGTTACGGCAATAGCCTGACCTTCCTTTCCCTTACCCAACCTCTTTCCAGTCTTTCTTTCTTTGTTTTATCTTTTCGAGACAGGTTCTCACAAGTAGTTCTGGCTGTCCTGGAACTCACTATGTAGATCCACCTGCCTCTTGCCTCCCAGGTGCTGGGATGAAACGCGTGTGTCACCATGCCCAGCTCTGCCATGATTTAAAAAATGTATTTGCCTCATTTCAAGGACTTGTCTATATGTAGTATATCCCTGTGTGCCTACGTACCAGTGTAGGATATTGTGTCACTGAATCTAGAGTTCACTATTTCTGCCCGTCTCCACCTCCCAGGACCTCCTGCACTGGGGTTTCACACAGGCATCACTACCACAATTGGCTTTTGTGCTGGTGCTGAGAATCTGAACTCAGGCCTTCATGTTTTGTAGTGAGCTACCTCCCCGGCTTCCATTGCCTTTTTTTTTTCTAAAGAAAAATATTTTAATGATGTGTTTAATTATGTGTGCATCTATGTACTGGTATACATACCTGAGTGCAGGTGCCCAGGGGCCAGAGGTGTTCCCTGGATCTGGAGTTACTGACAGCTCTGAGCTGCCTGATGTGGGTGCTGAGAACCAAATTCAGGTCATCTGAAAGAGGAATACTGCAGCCATTTCTACAGCCCTGTTTTTTGTTTTGTTTTGTTTTTAAAGCAGTAGAGGAGTAGGGGTGTATCTCAGTGGTACCATGTTGTTTAGGATGACGAGGACTCCAAGGTTCAATCCCAGTACACACACACACACACACACACACACACACACCACGTAGAACAAAGCACAGAGAGACAAGAAAGGCATGGGGAGTGAGTGAAGTCTTGAGTGAATGTGTATTATTGATATTAACATAGCCATGTCAAGGACCCCAACCCCCCAGACCTGTGGGTATGGCAGGACCTTTTCCAGGTCAGGCTCAGACGAATGGGAAGGCCTTCCATGAGTGAGTGCAACACCAACAGGGTGTGCATTTTTTAATTTCAGATGACTGAAGCATGAAACTGCTTCCCGAAGAGACCCCCTAAAGAGATTAGCAAACTCTCCTTCTTCAGCTCAAGTAATAAACTGGTTGAGTTTCCAGGCTGCTAGTGTGTCTCCCTCAGAACACACGGCCCACCATAACCCCCTATGCATGTCTGTTATTTCTTCATTCCCCATTGCCCAGTCAGGCCAATCTCAAAGCCCCGCTAGTGGAGACAGAGAAGAAAAAAGAAAAATAAGAGAAAAAAAGCCTGGCAGGGTGGCACATGCCTTTAAATCCAGCACTTGGAGAGGAGAGGCAAGCAGATCTCTGTGAGTTTGAGACCAACCTGGTCTCTTTCTTTCTTTTCCTTTTTTTAATTTAAATTAGAAATAAGCTTCATTTACATATCAATTCCAGTTCCCTCACCCTCCCCTCCCTCCAGCCCCTCACCAAACCCCATCCCATCCCCTTTCTTCTCCTTAGAGAGGGTGAGGCCTTCCTTGGGGGGGATCTTCAAAGTCTGTCATATCATTTGGAGCAGGGCCTAGAACCTCCCCTGTGTGTCTAGGCTGAGAGAGAATCGCTCTATGTGGAGTGGGTTTCCAAAGTCCATTCGTGTACTAGGGATAAATACTGATTCACTACCAGAGGCCCCATAGAATAACTAGACCTCCAAACTCACACCAACACCCCCCCCGCCTTTTTTTTTTTTTTTCTTCTTTTTTTTCTTTTCTTTCTTTTTTCTTTTCTTTTCTTTTCTTTTTTTTCTTTTCTTTCTTTTTTTTTTTAGCTTGGTTTTTCAGACAGGATCTCTTTGTATAGTCCTGGGTGTCCTGAAACTCACTATGTAGACGACCAGACTGACCTCCGATGCAGAGATCCGCCTGCTACTGCTTGTTTTTTGTTTGTTTGTTTTGTTTTGTTTTTGTTTTTCGAGACAGGGTTTCTCCATGTAGCTTTGTAGACCAGACTGGCCTCGAACTCATAGAGAGAGATTCGAGATTTGCCTGCCTCTGCTTCCCAAGTGCTAGGATTAAAGGCATGCGCCACCAGCACCTGGCTGCTACTCCTTCTTGGGGGCTAGAATTAAAGGAGTGCACCACCCATGCTGCTGGCTTACACACACACACACACACACACACACACACACACACACACACACACACTTTAATATTAAAGGTAAATTGCAGCTGGTCAGTGTTGGCACACGCCTTTAATTCCAGCATTTGGGAGGCAGAAGCAGGTGAATCTCTATGAGTTTAAGGCCAGCCTAGTCTAAATAGTGAGTTCCAGGGCAGCCAAAGTAACAAAGTGAGACTCAGTCTTGAAAATAGCAACAACAAAACCCCAAAACCAAAAAGTAAATTGCATAGTAAATGATTTATAGCTCAGTTAATCTGTTTGTTGGTAGCGGGGTGGTGGTGGCACATGCCTTTAAATCCAGCACTTGAGAGGCAGATGGATCTCAGTGAGTTCAAGGCCAGCCTGGTCTACAAAGCTAGTTCCAGGGTTGTTACACAGAGAAACCCTGTCTTGGAAAAAAAATCTGTTTATTGGTGTACTATTTGAAACAGGGTCTCATATAACCCAGGCTGGTCTGGAATTTAGTATGAAACCAGGCTAGCCTTGAACTCCTGGCATGCCTCTTGTCTCAGCCTCCCATGTCCTGGAATTATAGGCATAAGCCACCATAACCACCCACTATAGCTGTTACTAATGCAAGTAAAAACTCTTCATTACCAAGATCTAACCATACTAGGCACAGGCAAGGACACTCTACAATCCTCTTGTCAAGCCAGAGATGGTATGCAATTGCTACTCTACTTCACAGATGACAGGGGCAGGCAGATTTGTCCCACATGACACCAAAGTAACAAGAACAGTGTTAGAACTCAAGTCTCTGACTATGAGACTTAACCTTGTCCCCTATTAAAATGAGAAGGAAGGAAAAGAAATAAAAGAAGAAAAAAAAATGAGGAGCTATCAAGTCAACACCTGGCCAGGCTCTTTGAGTGTCATCCCACTCAAGAACTGTTGCTGTCGCTTAGAGGCACTAAGATCCAGAGAGAGATGACTCAGAGCATAGTTGACGACTAACTTGGGTATGAACATCCAATTTCGTGCCATTAAGCCCCTTGGAACTGCCTTCCTGAGGGCTTCCTCTGACCTCTGGCAACCCAGTGACTACCTAACATCCCTGGATTGGCATCGAGTCCCTCTGAAGCTTCCTATTTGGTTGCTATCTCTTTCCTAAATAGTGAGAGGTTCCTGGGCTCATGGCCTAGTCATGTCTGGTTGCTGGGCAGGAGCAACAGGATAAACATGAACAAGTGATGAAAAGGGGAGAATCATTCATTCATTCATTCATTCATTCATTCATTGTTTGCTGAGTGGTTACTGTTGACCAGATGTGCCAGGCACCAAGGATACAGCACTGACCAAAACACATCAAAACTTGTCCTTGAGAGCTCATGTGTGAGAGATGGAAGGGACAAAGGAAAAAGCCCGGCCCCTTCCTTTCAGCCTTCCACCAGAGAGAGCTTGAATGTCAGATCCACTTGGGGCACGTAACTGGGCTCTAGGGCCATTGGGCTAGGCATCTGTGAACATCCTGCCCACTGTATTTTAATGAAAACAGCATTGTTTTTTTTTATTTATTTTCCTTTCTTTTTTTTTCAGCATTATTTTTTTAAATAGTCTCTCAGCTTACTGTCCCAGGAAGATATATGAGTGGAGTTTAGTGGAACATAACAATTCTAAGACAATTCCTCATTCGGAGATGAGGTAGAAAGCATGTAAATGGATGACCCCCCCCCAGGATAAGGCCCCTCCTCCTTGACCCCAACCACAAAACCTGGGAAGCCAGTTCTTCTACCTATCTACCTTCTACCAGAGGGTCTTGGTTGCTGTTTCCCAGCCTGGAGGTCGGTTCAGGGAGCTTCTTCTTTAGCCCACTTAGAATGGAGGCACTAGTTAATAGGTATGAAGGCGCTGCTGAGTCCCTGACACACTAGCTTTGGGCTTGTTCTTTCTGTGATACTTTCTTTTTTTCTTTTTCTTTTTTTCTTTTTTGGTTTTTTGAGACAGGGTTTCTCTGTGTAGCTTTGTATACATGTCTCTCTCTCTGGAGACCAGGCTGGCCTCAAACTCACAGAGATCTGCCTGCCTCTGCCTCTGCCTCTGGAGTGCTGGGATTAAAGGTGTGCGCCACCAACACCCAGCAGCACCACCAATGCCCAGCTTGTCTTTCTTTCTTCTCATTCATAGACCATGGGACAAAAGCTGACTATAAGCTTTCAGTCATCCAATACACACTGATGTCTGTAATTAAAGGACTCAGGTCTAGGCAGCAGGATCTGGAATTAAAGGTCTTCCCCAACTACCTAAGTACTTTAAGGCCAGCCTGAGCTACATGAGACCCGGTTCCTTCCCTCACAAAAGAAACCCCAAACTGTCTGGTATGACAACACTCTCCTTTAATCCCAGAACTCAGGCAGAGCCAAGCAAATATTTGTCAATTTAAGGTTAGCCTGGTCTACACAGCTGGAGAGTTTTACACCAGCCAGGGTTACATAGTGGGACCCCATCTCAAATACATCAAATGAAACAAAACAACCCAAACTAACTGAGTACTCACTAAGCCTGCCTCCTATTTCCAGATGGTCTAGACACAGACAGACTGGATACTCCTGTGTGGTTGGAAGATAAGTGGACAGAAGTATAAAAGGGGCTCAAGAGGCTATAAACAGCTATACCTGAGGCTGGGGTCTCAAGCAGAAACAGCTTCTAAAAGATGGTGGCCCTTAAGTTGCCTGAGTTTCACAGGGTTAGGGTTAACCTAAGAGTGAGCCCCTAAGGGATCCAGACCACAGCTGACCCCTATCTGAACAGCAGGCACCTATGGCTTGTCCTGTCTAGGTTTTTCATCATGGTGGTGATGTCTGTCATCACTGTCCACTTAGATCTGCCTCCCTGTCTCCTTAAAAGCAGGTTTGTGCTTATATTCCCAGAATTTTCTGGAACAGGGTAGCCAAGAGCTGCTACTGAAAAAAAGTTGGTGGGGGAGAGCCAGTCAGCTGGAAGGAGGGTCTACCTTCCACCCCCAAGCCTGGTTTCCCCTCGTGGTTTCTCCAGCCCCGCCCTTTCCAACTTGGTCTACACAGCTTCCTGCCCGCCAGCACTTGTGGCTGCACCATGATGCTGACTGCCCACCTGTCCTACTTTCTGGCCCTGTTGACAGCAAGCCAAGGCCTCAATGACTCCTTCCTCACCAAGGTAAATAATTCTAATCTGCTCTCCATGCCCTCCCCTGCCCATCCCAATGCCTAGGGTCTTCTCTTTATGAATTGGTGTATGTTTTGTCTTTTTAATTTTCTTAAGACAGGGTCTCACAGGGAATGGTGGCAGGAGGATCTCTGTGAGTTTGAGGCCAGCCTGATCTAATAGTGACATAGTAAGTTCCAGGACAGATCGGGCTATATATCTATGTAGAGAGATTCTGTCTAAAAACAATACAAAAACAAACAAACAAACAAACAAACAAAAAACATCTTACTTTGTAGCTCAGATTGGCCTTTATCTGTGTAGCCCAGACTGATTCACTGGCTTAAAACTCTCAGATGTCTTTCTGCCTCAGCCTCTTGAATGCTGGGATGAACATTCAATTACGGGGATGAGCTGTTCTGTGTGGCTTTATCTTTCCCATTTCTTAGAGGGAGCAATTGAGGCTAACATGTGATTGCTCACATTGAGCAAAGAGGAGAATGCCTGATGACTCCTTAGCTCCGTCCTTGTACCTTGGTTGGGTACAAGGTTGAGTTTATGATTCTTTCCTATGCCTCTCCCCACTTTGGCTCCTTGCTAGGATACAGGCCCCCGACCACTGGAGTTGATAGAAGTCTTCAAGCTATTCCAGATCAAGTACAACCGGAGTTATGCAAACCCAGCAGGTATCATGGGTGCGGATGCTTCCAGTCCCTTTCCCTCTGTCTACTTAAGAGATGAATTAGGGCTTGGGATGGGGAAAAGACCTGGCCCAGGCCACTGAGTGGGAAACAGGGTCCATAGTGTACTCTTTGGCTTCCCTAAAGTATGATAGGTATGGAATGGTTCTCACTCTGCAGCCACCTAACTGTGACTTCCAGGTGGGGGGTGGAGGACCACCATCTAGTCACATTTTCAGTCAGCAAATATCCAAGGATACGCACTTTGTCTCTGGGGTGTCACCTCTGTCCCCCATCCTTGCCCTGTTTACCTGGACCAGCCCCAAGCTACTGGCTGTTCTTTCTTTCACTCTGTGGTTTCATCTCCCACAAAAGGCTGTAGGTTGTGTGTGTGTGTGTGTGTGTGTGTGTGTGTGTGCGTGCGTGTGTGCACATGCACATGCACGAGCTCATCTTCACACCCTACCCACTCACCCTCCATACCTGTGGTCAGATGTGAGAAGAGGAGGCAGAGAAGGTACAGCCCACAGGTACAGGAAACTTATCTCAAACCTATTTCCTTTCCCATTTACTGTCTTTCCCACCTTTCCCCTAGAGGGGGCCTCTGGGGGAAATTCTAACCTCATGTGGGATGGATAACCACTTTCTTGCAGTGGAGAGATAGTGATTGGTGCTATAGGAAAGAGCCAGCACTCACCTGGGTGGATGTGGGTGACCCAACCAATGGCCACTTCCTGCTCTGAGACCTATCGGCAAACAACTCCTTTTTGGCCTAGAATATGCTCGCCGTCTGAACATCTTTGCCCACAACCTGGCCCAGGCTCAACGGCTGCAGGAAGAAGACTTGGGCACAGCAGAGTTTGGGGAGACTCCATTCAGTGACCTCACAGGTACCAGAACCCTCCTAGCCCATAGGTAGGGCATCTGGCAGAAAGACAGAGCCAATCTTCCCCTTTCAAGGCCAGCCTGGGTGACTGCCCCAAATCCCAGAGCACAAGGCAGGAACTCTATGGCCCGTGTCCCAGCTTGGCTCACAGGCCAGGGATAGAAGGTGCAGAGACTACACCAGAGTGAGCTGGGCCTCTCTGGGTCTCACTATCCCACATGATGCTCCAAAGGCATCCCAGGGATAGGGAGAGCCAAGGTTTTGGAAAGGGAGAATACAGAAGAGAGGAGTGTCAAACCTGTGACCTCTGTGGCCCTGTTTGTCCCCAGAGGAGGAGTTTGGCCAGCTATACGGGCAACAGAAGGCACCCAAAAGGATTCCCAACATGGTCAAAAAGGCAGGGTCTGAAAAGTGGGGGCAACCAGTGCCCTCTACCTGTGACTGGCGTAAAGCAACAAACATCATCTCATCGATCAAGAACCAGGTATCTGTCCCCACCCAGTTTCGCCCAACCTACCCCGAAGAGGGGGAATGAGGTCAAAGCCTCCATGCCTTACCCTGTCCCACCCTCTTTCCACCCAGAAAACCTGCAGGTGCTGCTGGGCCATAGCAGCAGCGGACAACATTGAGGCCCTGTGGCGTATCAAAACACAACATTTTGTGGAAGTCTCTGTGCAGGGTATGGCAGGGAGATGTGTGTCAGGGAAAGATGGCCTATGGGCCAGCTCACCTACGCCATCCCTTTCTGCCCCCAGAGCTGCTGGACTGTGAGCGCTGTGGAAATGGCTGCGATGGTGGCTTCGTGTGGGATGCATATATGACTGTCCTCAACAACAGTTGAGTACCAGGCCTTGTGGGAGGACAGTGGGATGAAGGGTATTCAGTGGTTAAGCCTATTTCCTGGTCTTGCTTGTCTTCAGGTGGCCTGGCCAGTGAAAAGGATTACCCATTCAAGGGGTACCCCAACCCCCATGGGTGCCTAGCCAACAGGTACAAGAAGGTGGCCTGGATCCAAGATTTCACCATGTTGGGCCGTGATGAGCAGGGTATGGCCAGGGTGGACATGGGGGCTGTGGGCAGGGCGCAGAGAAACCAGCATGGAGTCACACAGGCCTGGCTATGGGAGACACAATTAAAGTCCATTCCTCTGTGAGAAGAGGAGCAGCTCAGGGTAGGCAGGGCTTGATGGCACCTTCAATAATCTCTAGTAATTACCCATTTCCAGTGATCGCAGGCTACCTGGCCACCCATGGCCCTATCACTGTGACTATCAACATGAAGCTGCTACAGGTGAATGGGGTTGGGGGAAGAGAGAAGGGGCACACGGGAGAGGCAGCTCCAGACTTAGCTCCTCTATTCCCCACCCTGCAGGGTTACCAGAAGGGCGTGATCAAGGCCACACCCACTACCTGTGACCCCCAACAAGTGGACCATTCTGTCCTACTGGTGGGTTTTGGCAAGGGCAAAGAGAAGGAGGACATACAGTCAGGAACAATCTTGTCCCAGACTCGCAAGCCTCGAAAACCTCGCCGCTCTGTCCCATACTGGATCCTGAAGAACTCCTGGGGAGCTGAGTGGGGCGAGAAGGTGAGTAGAGTGGGATGAGGGAGGGCGCAGACGAGTTCTTCTCTGCCTTCTGGCACTGATAACCCCTAACTTCCTAGGGCTACTTCAGGCTATACCGGGGAAACAACAGCTGTGGCATCACCAAGTACCCCATCACAGCCTGTCTGGACCATCCAGTTAAGAAGCCCCCAATCCCTTGTCCACCTTGAGGCCAGCAGCCATCCCTCAGCCTCTCCCACATGGCCGCTATTCTCCTTGTCAGCCCCACTTTGAGGTTCCTCCTGGCTTCCCATTTTCTCTGTATGGCTTCATAAACCAAGACATGGTTCCCTGGCTCCTGAGTGGTTTCAGCTGGGGTATGGAGAGGGAGGGTGGGGGTACAAAAGACCTCATCTGGGTCATGGTCCAGTCCCTGAGGTGCCAGTATAAACATCCTCACACACTGATGACATAGGTGCACATTGTGAAAGGCCCCGAGCTCCTCAACCTGGAACAAGGACCAGTTTCCAAATGTATGGCAACTTTATTGTCAGGGTATGCCGGAATGGGGGGGGGGAGGGCGCTAATCATGATAGAGGCGCAGAAGGCAGCCACGGAGGGTACCCATGTAGCGGTCCCAGAGGACCTGGTGCCTGCAATGACAATGGCAACAGTGATAGCTGATGTTCATGCAACACCATGCCCGACACACTGCTATGATTGCTGTCTATACCTTAACTCATCAGGAATTCCTATACATATATATATATATATATTTTTTTTTTTCATAGCTTGATTTTGGAGATAGAATCTCATTCTGTAGCCCAGGCTGGCCTGGAAAACAGCGGCAATTTTGCTCCAGCTTCAGAAGCACTGGGATTATAGAAGTGAGCCATCATGCCTACTTCCTTCTCCCCACTTCCTGCACAGTGCTGAGGATTGAACACAGGGCCTTGTGCATGGTGGATAAGTATACTATTACCAAACTGCACCCTAGACTATTTAGTTTCCATGAAGTTCTATGGCATGAAAGCTCAAGCACAGAAAGGGTAAGTAACTTGCCCAACGTCACAAAGAGAGGTGGAACTTCCACCCACAGGGTGGTTCAGTAGGAAATAGTCTACTGGAGGGCAAATAAGTTTGCCAGTAGGCCTGGCACCTCTCACCGGAAGCCATCCAGGGAGTGGACAGACAGTGAATACTGGTTGAGGAAGAGCCGCACATCACTCAGTGGCCAGTGGTCAGAACGGCAGGGTTCCACAAACTGTAGGCTCAAGGCAACAAGTAGAACCCTCAGAACCACTCAGAGGCAGGGCAGGCTGGGGATGGGGTGTGGGTCAGGACTGCTCACCTTCTCTACAAGGTCCACAAACAGGTCTCTGACGTCCTTATTGTGGGTCAGCTTGGCAGCCACATTCACCAGCCCCCGGGACAGATTCTGTGGGGCAGGGATCTTGGGAGTTCTGTCTTCTGCCCCAGAAGCTGGAGGCTGAGCACTGAGGGTGGGGAGGGCCAGGCCCCTCCCCAAATCTATCCACCTCCCTCACTCAATCAAGTCCCTTTTGTTATGAGCTTGGTCCCCCTCAGAGGCAGATAGAGCCGCAGTGCCACCTGCTGGTCAATTTCGGGCATGAGCAGAGTTGCCCAGCAGGGACAGAACACAGAAGGCTCCTGACACTTTAAGGGGAAGGGCCTGGACAGGGCCACAGACCTTGAAGTTGGTTTCCATCTCAGAGAAGACACTCAGCTTTCCCCGGAGGGCAGTACACACCAGGCTGTAGGAAGATAGGGTCATACTATAGCCATCGGAGACCATTTTATACCCTGGCTCATGGATCCCTGAGGTCACCTCTTATGCAAGTCTAGAAGGTCCTTGTCAGCTACTAGAACTTTGAGCTCCTTCAAGTCTTGGAGAAACTCCTTGTCTAAGTCCACATCCATGTCGTCCATCTGGGAGTCTGAAAGACCATGAAAGAAGTTGTGGGTGGATGAGAGACCATCTTGGGAGGCCCTGAACTTTCCTCACCACTACCTCACTGGGATCTCAAAGATGGAAGGTGGAATGATATGCCCCAGGCTACACAGTAGGGAGCCCTTGGCCAGCAAACAAGGTGCATGTGGAGTACTTGCACTATATGTAGAGGTGGCCTGGAGTTGAGGGCTAAAGTAGGATGCTGAGTACTGTGAAAGCTACAGGAATAGCTGCTGGCAGAGAACCAGTCCCCAAGAAGGCAGGGAATGTTCAGGCACCTGGGTCAGTGGGGGCCTCACCGACGGCTCCAAGGGTCCAGTTCTGGATCATAAGCTCAGCACAGAAGGCAAAGTCACCAAAGCTCAGGTACTGTAGCTTTTTCTTTCCTGTTTCAAATCGGTTGTTGGCAAAAAAGACGATGGCTGCATAATCTCTGCAGACGGGACAGTGGGTATCTTAGGACTAGAAATCCCTTCTCAGGGTGTCTCAACCAATAAGCTTGTTTTGGTTTTTCAAGACAGCGTTTCTCTGTGTAACAGCTCTGGCTGTCCTGGAACTCTCTTTGTAGGCCAGCCTGGCCTACAAAGAGAGGTCCAGGACAGCCAGAGCTGTGGGGAGGCAGAGGCAGGCGGATCTCTGTGAGTTTGAGGCCAGGCTGGCCTCCAACTCACAGAGATCCGCCTGCCTCTGCCTCCCCAGTGCTGGGGTTAAAGGTGTGCACCACCACCTCCTGGCTACTTGATGAAACCTGTTGTTGAAGAAACCTATTCTTGAAGAGACCTGTTGTTGATTTAAATCCCTCTTAGTAGGTAATCCCATCTGTAATCTTGGCTAAGCATTTTAGTTCTGGTCTACTTCTGCTTTAACTCACCACGTGACCAACCACAGAGCATTATTTTACCAACCTCTCATCTCTGCAAAGAGAGGGTTCAGGCAGTCTTCCTAAGGAATTGTGGCCTGTGAAAGGTCATACTACCATCGCTGAGCACATCTTAGATGCTTTACAAATGCCTTAACCCTGGCCAATTTAATGCAATTTACAGGTCACTGATAGAATAATAATTAGAATAGTCAGAAGGGAAAAGGGTCAGGATGGGGAAGGAAGGTGTGCCAGTCTAAGGTTCAAGGAAACTGTGCAGGCAGGAAGATGGCTGGCCTCTCACCTGGCTAGGCGGTCAGAGAGGAGGAAGTGTTGCTGGATATTATCCACCAGGGAGCCCCGCATTTCTTCCACCACCTTGAAGACTCGCTTAAAGTTGTCAAACTGTAGGGCATTTAAAGAAGGAAGGAGACTGGTCAGAGGTGTTCATGCATGAACTGGTAGAGGGCCTCTTCCTCTCCTGTCCACCTATCCAGTTGGCAGGTACTAATTTCCCACTAGTTATTGCTTCAACAAATGACTTGGGTTTTGTTTGTTTCTTTCTTTCTTTTGAGACAAGGCCTCGCTGTATAGCACCAGCTGTCCTGGAACTCACTATGTAGAATGGTCTGGCCTCAGACTCACAGAGACCTGCCTGCCCCTGCCTCTCTAGTGCAGGGATTAAAGGCCTGGGCCACCACACCCCAGCATTACTGGGTATTACTAACTGTCATCAGTCAACAAATGTTTGTCAGCATTTTTCCTTAAAAAAAAAAAAAGTTTCTTTGTTTCTGTCCTTAAGTTCAATTTAGCATCTAGCTCCCTGCTGTGGATTTCAAGGGGTAGATATGGCCAAGAACAGTACCTTCTAGGCAGGAGCACCATGAACAAAAACAAGAAATGTAAGCCTGGAGAGGTCTTCAGGAACCCAACCAGAGTCTGAAGGTCAAGGACAATGGGAGTCAACCAATAAGCAATGGAAAGCCACGGTCAAAACTGAGCCTATGAAAGGCCACTCTGGCCAAATGGGAGGTGGAGGGAGAAGAGACTATATATGAAAAAGCTGCTTCCACAATCGCAGGCTGGAAGTAGAAGCAGGGCACTGGGAGCTGGGGTAGTGAGCACAAGATTAAGGGGTGGGCTAGATGGGATATGGTTTATATGTGGAACCCACCTGCCTACGGCAACTCTTGAGTGTAATTCCAGTTTTGGTGCTGATGTCATCCAGGTCTTTCTTGGTACCCTTGGACAGCTTCTTGCCCAAGACCTCCCGAACAAAGGCCTCGTCAAAGGTGTAGTACCTTGTGGAGGCATAGGACATTACTGGTGATCCATTGAGTAAGGAGAGGGGAGCCTGGGGTATGTCCCATCCTCCCTGAGCCTCAGTTTCAGCCTGAAAAATGGGTGTAAGTCAAACTGATACTCCCGCCATCCCCTAGGTGAGCACCTCTCAATGAGGAGCGCCTGTCGGGAGGGAGGGATCTGGAAGATGAGCTGGTGTAGCAGCTTCGGCGGCGCATGCAGCAGTCGCTCAAGCATGTGAAAGGTGCGGTAGTGGTCCATGGTGTCGCTCTGCAGCACTCCTGCGGTGGCGCCTGTCTGCTCCAGTATTCCGGAGCGTACTCGCAGAGCCACCGCATCGTTCACTAGGGAGAGGGCACTACCATAAGGTCCCATCCTGCTGAACCTAGAGGCCCTCGAAGGGTTCCAGCTTCAATCCTCCATCCCTGACTCCCAGAGGTTGGTCCACTTCCCTAAGAGAAATCCTGGCCACGCCTTCTCTATCACCCAAAACAACTGCTTCCCAGGAGGACGATACACAGACCTGAGTAACCATCCAGCCAGAGGCGATACACGTCTTCATCTATAAGGGTCGTGTTGCCCACGAAAATGTCTAGTTCGCTGGTCATGGCGATGCCTGGGCCGGATTCGCCCAGAGCTGCTGCAGCTAGCACGGCCCGGGGCCGGGCAAGCAGCCGCAGAGCCACTTCCGGGAGTGCGGAGATTTCGCTCCGGGCACCCGGAGCCAGCGAAGGACCACTTCCGGGACGGAGTGGTAGGCAGGAGTAGCGCTGCTCTCTTTTCTCAGCTCGTCAGAGAATATTTGGAAGACCTCCGGATGGATAGTCTTCTCCCATTCTCCCCTGTCTTGCAGATTCTCCCATTTCCCCCTGCTTTCTCTCCTTTTTCTCAGCTCTCTCAAAGCCTCCCAATTTTGACATAAATTAGAATGTTTTCGAGGCGTTATCCTAAGTCTCCGTGCGTGCTACTCTTCTTCCATAGTCTATTAGACAGATGAGCATCTTTCTTGTTCTCACCATGTATTTTGTTTTTGTTATTTTTGACTGTGTGTGTGTGTGGGGGGTATGTGCGTGTGAGTACAGGTGCCCTCGGAGACCAGAAGTATCAGAGCCTGTGGAGCTGGGTGCTGGAAACTGAGCTCAGCTCCTCTGCAAGAGCAGTATTCGCTCATAACCACTGAGCCATCTCCCCAGCCCCCACTATGGTTTTTCACCACATACCACACCCCCACACAAGCTGTGACTTCTCTTAAAGTCTTTGAGGCATCTGCAGGGCCATCTATCTGCTAAGATGCTCCACTGTCGTCTTTGTCTTCTCATAAAGCAGCAAAGGCTCGACACAGGATCAACAAGCCTGACGACCTGAGTTCGATCTCCAGGACCCATACTGTGTAAGGAAAGAATCCAACTCCGGCAAATTGTCCTCTGACCTCCACACATACACTGTTGTACTTAAACATAGTATAGTTTCCTTTTTTTTTTTTTTTTTCCGAGACAGGGTTTCTCTGTGGCTTTGGAGGCTGACCTGGAACTAGCTCTTGTAGACCAGGCTGGTCTCGAACTCACAGAGATCCGCCTGCCTCTGACTCCCGAGTGCTGGGATTGAAGGCGTGTGCCACCAACTCCCAGCTATAGTTTACTTTTTTAATTACTAAAAAAAAATTAACCTTAGTCGGGCAGTGGTGGCGCATGCCTTCGATCCCAACACTTGGGAGGCAGAGGCAGGTGGATCTCTATGAGTTCAAGACCAGCCTGGTCTACAAGAGCTAGCTCCAGGACAGCTTCCAAAGCCACAGAGAAAACCTGTCTGGGGGTGGGGGGAGAATTTGGCTTCTGGACTGGAGAGATGACTCAGGAGTTAAGAGCACTGGCTGCTCTTCCAGAGGTCCTGAGTTCAATTCCCAGCAACCACATGGTGGCTCACAATCATTTTTTTCTTCTTTTTTTTTCACAATCATTTATAATAGGATCTGATGCCCTCTTCTGGCATGCAGGTATACAAACAGAGCACTCATACATAAAATATAAATAAAAAAAAAGAATTTGGCTTCTAAGTGGGCGGTGGTGGCGAATGCCTTTAATCCTACCACTCAGGATGCAGAGGCAAGTAGATCTCTGTGAGTTCAAGGCAAGCCTAGTTACAGAGCTAATTCTAGGACAGCCAAGGCTACAGAGAGAAACCCTGTCTTGACAAAAACAAACAAAAGAAAAAGAATTTGGCTTCTACCCACCCTTGAAGCCAGGCTAGTCTAAACTGGCCACAGTATTCCAACGGCAAGCACCGGAGCCACCAGCTCTTCAAAGCCTGCTCTTACCACTTTCCATTTATCTACACTTACCAGAATTTCACAACTATCCTCAGTTATGCCTAGTGTAGCTAGACTCTTGGAGGCATCGATGTCTTTTACCACACTTCCTGCTTTCTCTCCCATCCCTTTTCTCTATTGGCAGTCTTTGGTTTTTGAGACAAGGTCTCTCTACATAGCCCTATCTGTCCTGGAACTCTCTGTTGGCAATATTACGTATCTTTTAGGACCCCTCAGATATTTTCTCTTTGGGAATCCCAGAGATTATTTGTGCATCACATCCTTCTTCTATGTGCAAGAATGAACCAGGGCCTTGCACTCACTAAGCAAGTGCTTCATCATTGAGCCATATGCTTGGTGTGAACTTGGATGCCCTCCCCATCTCTCTTCCCCAAAAGATTTTCTTTATTTCACATTGTGTCTGTGCCCATGAAGGCTAAAAGAAAGTGTCAGATCCCCTGGAGTTAAAGTGGCTATGAGCCTCCCCTGGAGGAGTGAGTGCTGGCTTCTTAGCTCAAGTCCTTTCCAGGAGCAGCGATACTGAGCTATCTCTCCAGCCTCCACACTCAGCTCCCCCCCCTTTTTTTTTCTTTTGCCACATTTTAACCTTCTTGGTCAAAAACAGGATTCCGGTCAAATTTATTTCTGCACAGGCCTTTCACACAACAAAAGCTTATTAAACAAGCAAATCCTTTGTGTGGCCCATCCTGCAGGCAGGAAACGCTCCCTGGGAGGAAGGGAGGGAGGGTTGGTTGATAATGAGCCAGGAACTTTGGACTCTGGATTCAGAGTAGCTGGGAGTGATGCTTGAGAGTTCTGGCAAAGGAAGAAGAGCTTGGAAAGCCATCTGTTCAGGTTCTGTTGCATGGTGGGCAGGAGTCAAAGGCAGACACCTGAATATCGATCGATTCTTAAAAAGTGCTCGAAGAGATTTGGGACGTGGAGTCCCGCAACGCCTTCAAGTCCGGCTGCGATGACCATAGAAGGAAAGGACAGAGAAAGTCCCTACTGTTAGAGGGTCGTGACACCCAGGTCCGGAGTGGGAAAAAGAAGAGGCGCTACGGGCTTAGGCTCCACCCCTTCCCGGGAGACTTTCCGGATTGGCTGTCCTTCTTCAACATCAAGAGGCCCCGCCCCGGCGCGCGCCCTGCCTCGTGCCCACCCCAGGGTGGCTGCTGCTTCCTACGCTGCCTCCTCCACAGCTTGCCATCCTCAGAGCCAGAGCCCGGGCCGGAGCCTGAGCGGCAGCCGGCCCGAGGAAGGGCTCCAGAGCCTCGGCGGCGGGCGGGCGATGCTGCAGCTGCCTGATCAGCCATGGAGGCCGAAGCAGGCGGCCTGGAGGAGCTGACGGATGAGGAGATGGCGGCGCTGGGTAAGGAGGAGCTGGTGCGGCGCCTGCGGCGGGAGGAGGCGGCGCGCCTGGCAGCGCTGGTGCAGCGCGGCCGCCTGATGCAGGAGGTGAATCGGCAGCTGCAGGGTCACCTGGGAGAGATCCGTGAGCTCAAACAGCTCAACCGGCGCCTGCAGGCGGAGAACCGGGAGCTGCGCGACCTCTGCTGCTTCCTGGACTCGGAGCGCCAGCGGGGACGGCGTGCAGCGCGCCAGTGGCAGCTGTTCGGGACCCAAGCATCCCGGGCGGTGCGCGAGGACCTGGGTGGCTGTTGGCAGAAGCTAGCCGAGCTGGAAGGCCGCCAGGAGGAGCTGCTGCGGGAAAACCTGGCGCTTAAGGAGCTTTGCCTGGCACTGGGCGAAGAGTGGGGTCCCCGCGGTGGCTCCGGCGGCGCAGTGGGCTCAGGCGCCGGGCCCACTCCCGAGCTCGCCCTGCCCCCGTGCGGGCCCCGCGACTTAGGCGATGGAAGTTCCAGCACTGGCAGTGTGGGCAGCCCAGATCAGTTGCCCCTAGCCTGCTCCCCCGATGACTGAGGGCGCTGCATTTTCCACGCCAACGCCTGCCTGAATTGCTCCCTGAGCGCGGAGACTGCTGTGGACCTCCAGACCTGGTAGCTGCTTCGGCTGAGCACCAGGGCCCTGGTATGGACTGAAAAAGCCCTGGCACTGAGGAGGGCCCCTTGCTCTTGCTGGCAGGGCAGTAGGGGAATGGAGGCTGAAGTGGAGGGACTTGCTGGGTGGTTGGGTGGGGACTAATAAACTGGGAAGAGCAGAGCCCGAAGCCTGGCCAGCCTGTGTCTGGAACTCGCCGTGGTTGGGAAGAGGGCGGAAACCCAAAGACGTGGTGCAATTCCCACCCGGAGGGACTGCAGAACTAAGGGCTGACTCCTCATTACCTGGAGTTTTGGGTGGGATTTAAGACAGTGGTAGAGCACTTACTCCCCCAATGGGCGCCAAGACAGGCCGAAATCCGGCCCCTGAAGTGGCTCTAGCTCCCTTCCAGGCTCCTTCCTGTCCGAAACAATGGGGCAGGAAGCAGGTGTTGGGGGCCTCAAGCCCACTGGCTGCCTGTTCGGAAGGTGGAAGGGTATGACACGGTCCTTCCCTGCCCCCAGTCCTTAAGATAGGAGCAGTGTGATTCCCCATGGGGAAAAACTGATCATCTTGTTTGCTTGCACTCCAGAGCATTCTCAGTCTCTCGAAGTACAGGAGATGAGGCAGAGCAGAGGTAGCCCCATTCTTCAGATGAGAATGTCAAAAGTCCAAAAATATATGATAGTTTCTTCAAGGTCACAGCTGAGACTGGAACCTAGAGCTCCTGTTCGAAACAGTCTCCTTTAGCTTCTGGATCCAACATGACAACTCAGACTAGAGCTTCAAGCCTTTATTCCATTTTGGAAGGTTTGTATAAAAATAGTCTCTTTAGGAAAATAAATAGCAGCTGCCCTTGATGTGGAGGCTTGGATACCCTGGAAGTAGAGGCTTCTCAAAGCTTGGGAGTGCAGCTCAGCTCATCACAGAAGCCACCAGTGCCTCCTGAGTTGTGCCATTCAGGAGGAGCCTGCAGGATGCCCTGTCGCTGCTGGCAGTGGAGCTGTGTGAGTTAGTGTTCTAGACTAGTAAAAGGACACCTGTCTGGGTGTAGGGCTGGCTGGATCGTATGAAGAAAGTGACATAGCATGAGAGTGGTCTGCAAGGAAGGGAAAGGGCTCCAAAGGACCACTGGGGATCTACAAAGACTGGGCTGCCAGGATTTCTCTGGCCTAAAGGGGACATATTTTGTCTCTAATTTTGTGCAAATTATGATAGGCCAGCTCTAGAGAAACAATGAGCAGCTTTGGGGACCCCCCCCAAGCTGGCTCTACATCAAAGCATAATATGTTTGTTCTAATCTGAGAGATAAAGGACCTGCTGGTTTGGAGCATGGTTATGGTCCAGGCCTGCTGGATCAGTGGGGAAAAGGAGGCTGGGGTAGCACCAGCAAGGGGTGTGGTTGGGTGTCTCACAAAGCCAGGAGTGTGGGAGAACCCAGGGGGTCGGAGGAGGGGTCGCCACTGCTGCTGCTACTCTTTCGATGTGCTGAGGAACAAGGTTCTGGTGTGCTAGGGTAGGTGAAAACCAGACTGGGAGTAAAGGGAGTCAGAGACGGTGTGGTCATGAGCGTGGGGGTGTGCAGGGCTTCAGGTTCAAGTACAGGCCCTGGAGAAAGGGAGATACAAGGTACCGGGCGGCAGGGGGCTGGTGGGCTGCCGCCGCCACGGGCGCCAGAGCCGCTGGTGCTGCTGGTACCACCTGTGTCCTTATCTCCTTCTGGGATTTTGCAGATGGGGCGATGGGCTTCCAACACCAGCTCAAGGCGCTCCTTCTGTTTCTGCAGCTCTTCAATCTCTCGCTGCAGGCTCGATTTCTCGTCCTCCAATTTGTCGGTCTCCTTTAGGAGAAATTTAAGAGGGCTAAAGATCTCTAAGCCTCAGGCTGGAGTATGGGGGATGTGCCCTCAAGTCCCCTGCAAGTCCCATGAGACTCTTGGAGAAAATGGGCATGACTCCCATCAGGCCCAGGACTTGCCTACCAACATCTCTGCTTCAAGGCCCAAGACAAATAATTTTTTGTTTTGATTTTTGGGACAGGGTTTCTCTGTGTAACTGCCCACGCTATCCAGGAACTTGCTCTGTAGACCAGGCTGGCCTCGGACACACAGATATCAGCCTGCCTCTGCCTCCCCAGTGCTGGGATCAAAGGCGTGCGCCACCATTGCCCCTGTGGCAAATAATTTTTAACCCAACTGTTCTTATACTTTTCCCAGGACTTCCCCTCAGGCAGGGAGGAAGGTGGAATGTGGAGGAGTAATTTATTGGGTTTCTTGTGCTCCTAGGAACCAAGGTCACTCTTGGGCTTGGTGGGCCCAGGGCCTGGGAACTGTCTGTACCAGCTGATGCTCACCGCCTGCAGGAAGTCTGTCAGTTCCTTTCTTCGGTTTCTGCACTTAGCTGCTGCTAACTTGTTCCTTTCACGCCTCACTCTGCGGCGCTCTTCCTCCTCTGGGCTGATCTAGGTTGAAAGAGAAGAAGCACTGAACTTGCCATCCATCTTGGGGCTTTTCCTTCAGCCTGTCATTTAGGTGCCACCGTTACACAACTGCTGCTCTGTACCAGGCGTTCATACCTAGCTCCAAGCTAGCTTTACTGCTTGCTGGTTTCTTTCCAGTAATGCTTTCCCACTCCATAAACTTTGACCTTCCTTCCTCTCATCCTTCCTCAGCTTAGGACTAAACTAAGATGTTGAAAGCCTTATTTCCCAGGCATAAGTAGCCTTCCCTCCTGAGTCTACGAGACACGATTATCTTTTTATAGGACCCTCAGCCTTCTCATCTGTGGAAGATGGAATTTCTTCCTTCCCTGAGGAGCTATGAATCATAGGAGGTGCTCATAAGTGTCAAAAGCTATTGGAAATCTACTGTGCCAGCAAAGTACTTCAGAGGATTTTTCTTTTGTTCAGTGCTAGGGATCAAACCCAATGCCCGGTACATCCTAGCTAGGCAAATGCTCTACCACTGAGTTATGCCCCTAGCCCTTAAATAGATTCTTTTTGCTTTTTATAGTTTTTGTATTTTAGATAAGATCTCACTGTGTAGCCCTGGCTTGTCCAGGACCTGCTATGTAGACCAGGCTGGCCTGGAACTCACAAAGATTCACCTGCTTCTGCCTCCCAGGTGTTCGGAGTACAGATATGTGACACCACACCAGGCTTGTTTTGTTTTGTTTTTTTAAAGAGACGAGGTCTCGTGTATCCCAGGCTGGCCTTAAATTCAGCATATAGCCCACCTGCAAAATACTAGGATTATAGACTTTTCTCATCACTTCCAGCTTCCCTACACAGATTCTTTTTTGTTGTTTTCTTTTGTTTTTTGAGACAGGGTTTCTCTGCATAGCCATGGCTGTTCTGGAACTCACTCCATAGACCAGACTGTCCTGTAACTCAGAGATCCGCCTGCCTCTGCCTCATAATTCTTTGTGTATATTTTTGTGTGTGCTGGCTGGAAGTTGATATTGGGTATCTTCCTCAATTCTCTTATTTATTTATTTATTTATTTATTTATTTATTTATTTATTTTGAGGCAGTGTCTCTCACTGAACCTGGAGCCTAGCCATTGGCTAGACTTGCTAGCCAGTTATCTATTGGAGATTGTCAGTCTCAGCCTGCCCCCCTCCCTATGCTAGAGTTACAAAACCTACTCTTGGTCTCTATGTGAGTGCTAAGGATCCAAAATCTGGTCCTCATGTGATAGTCACTTGACTGACTGAACCATCTGCCTGTCTTCCTACACAGAGTCTCCTGGGCTTTTTTTGGGTTTAAAAAAAAAAAAAAAAAAAAAAACAGGGCTTCTCTGTGTAAAAGCCCTGGCTATCCTTGAACTCACAAAGATCTACCTGTCTCTGCCTCCTGAGTGCTGGAACTAAACGTGTGTGCCACCATGCCCAGCTAGAGTCTTCAAACATCACATGTATGTATGTATGTATGTATGTATGTATGTATGTATGTGGACACAGTGTGCCAGAGCACTGTGGAGGTCAGAGGACAGCTTGTAGGAGGTATGTCGCTCCTTTCGCTATGTCAGTTTCAGGGACTGAACTCAGATTAGGCTGGGCAGCAAGAACTTTTACCCATTGACCCATCTCATCAGAGATTGCTTTAAGATAAAAAAATTAATCCGGGCGTTGGTGGCACACGCCTTTGATCCCAGTACTAGGGAGGCAGAGGCAGGCAGATCTCTGTGAGTCTGAGACCAGCCTGGTCTACAAGGGCTAGTTCCAGGACAGCCTCCAAAGCCACAGAGAAACCCTGTCTCGAAAAACCAAAAAAAAAAAAAAAAAAAAAAAAAAAATTAATCCAGGCAGTGGTGTTGTACGCTTTTAGTCCTAGCACTCAGGAGGCAGAGGCAGGTGGATCTCTGAGTTCAAGGCCAGCCTGGTCTGCTGAGCAAGTGCCAGGACAGGCTGCAACGCTACACAGAGAAACCCTGTCTTGAAAAACAATAACAACAAAAAAGATTAAGAAATTAGTTCATGGCCAGCCTGGTCTACAAATGGAGTTCCAGGACACCCAGGTCTGTTACACAGAGAAACCCTGTCTCCAAAAACCAAAAAAAAAAAAAAAGACAAAACTTTATGTGTATGAGTGTTTTGCCTATGCGTATGTATGACCATCATGAGCATGCAGTGCTGGTGGAGACCAGAAGAGGGCGTCAGAAGCTTCAGAGGGAATTATGGACAGTGAGTTTCCACGTGGGTGCTGGGAATGGAACCTTGATCCTCTACAGAAAGAAGCCAGTGCTAACTGCCAAGTCAGCTCTCTAGACCTCAATATACTCTCATGTAAGAACTGAAGCTCAGGGAGGAGAATAAAGTCCAGAGCAGGATTTAATAGTCACTCGACTGACACTGAGTGAAAGGCCACCTGATGGAGCCACCTGCCCCAGGAGGAGCCTACCCACAGTTCACAGTTCCAACCCAGCAGCACCCATGATCTAAAGGTTACATTCAGGGAAGGGCTAAAGGAAGTGCAGAGGGATCATAGCCCAGCTGATCACAGAGGCAGCTATTCTATTGCTGGAAAGTCTGCTGTTGGCTATTCTTTGGTCAGTCTCACTTATCTCCCAAGGTCTGGCCCTCCCTCTTCATCCTCTACCCAGCCAGGAGGGCAAAGATTTGTGTGTCTGTGTTCACCTGGGAACATGTGCATACACTGGGGATTGAGTTCAGGGCATGGTCTTCGCCACAAGCTACCAACCCCAGCCAGGTTTGTTTGTTTGTTTATTTATTTTGGTTTTTCGAGACAGGGTTTCTCTGTGGCTTTGGAGGCTGTCCTGTAACTAGCTCTTGTAGACCAGGCTAGTCTCGAACTCATAGAGATCTGCCTGCCTCTGCCTCCCAACTGCTGGGATCAAAGGCATGCACCACCACCATCTGGCTCCAGGCTCCCTCCCTCCGTCCCTCCGTCCCTCCGTCCCTCCCTTCCTCCCTCCCTCCTTTCTTTCCTTCTTTCTTTCTGAGACAGGGTTTCTCTGTAGTTTTGGAGGCTGGCCTGGAACTCACAGAGATCCACCTGCCTCTGCCTCCCAGTTCTGGGATCAAAGGCATGTGCCACCAACGCCTGGCTCCAGGTTTATTTCTTTTTTCTTTTCTTTGTTTCTTTTTTTTTTGTTTGTTTTATTGGAGACATGGTTTCTCTGTGAAGCTTTGGAGCCTATCCTGGCACTATAAACCACGCTGGCCTGGAACTCACAGAGATTCGCCTGCCTCTTCCTCCCAACTGCTGGGATCAAAGGCGTGCACCATTAACGCCCAGCTCCAGGTTTATTTCTTACAGCATATTTTTTTCCCAGGCAAAATTTAAGTTCAGTTTTCTTTTGTTGTTTGGTTATTTGAGAGAGGGTTTATGTATCCCAGAAACATGTATTCCCATGTTTCTGAGACTGGACTTGAATTGATCCTCCTGTCTCTACTTCCTAAATACTGGGATTACTGGCATGCACCTTCATGCCCAGCAAAGTCAGCTTTTTAGTTTGGAGACCTCACCCCGCTGCACATTCATAGTGCTCCAGGGAGTACTTAGGTCTTAAAGATCCTCCATCTCAGTCAGGTATCCTAGTGTACACACGTAATCCTAGCTCTTGGCAAGTTGAGGCAGGAGGATCTCAAATTCAAGGCTAGCTTGGGCTACAAAGCAAGACCCTCGATCAAATAAAAAATATACTGTTATTCATTTGAGAAAGGACTTCAGGAAGGCAAAAGCTCTCCTCTCACTTTGTCTGGAACCTTCTATGAATTCCCCTTGAGACAGTGTGGCTCATTAGGGTCTGACTTTGGGAGCTGAGCAGGCCTGAGGCCACGGCCACTCCTGTCTCATTGTACGGATCAGGACAGTAACTACCTCTCTGTGCCTTCACTTCCTCTGCTGGGAGATGCAAAATTGAAATATATTTTCCATTTACTTCTTGTTTGTTTTTGAGATAGGGTGTCTGTGTGTAGCCCTGGCTGTCCTGGAAATCGCTCTGTAGACAAGGGTGGCCCAGAACTCAGAGATCCCCCTGCCTCTCCTCCCGAGTTCTGGGACTAAAGGCGTGCGCCACCACTGCCTGGCTTCCCATTCACTTTTTTGTGAGCATCAAAAGAAATAAAGAAGCCAAGCGGTGGTGGCACACGCCATTAGTCCCAGAACTCGGGAGGAGAGGCAGGTGGATCTCTGTGAGTTTGAGGCCAGCCTAGTCTACAAAGCTACACAGAGGAAACCCCGTCTCGGAAAAAAAACAAAAACGAATAATAATAAAATGAATTAGAAACTGAGATTCAGAGGACATTGACCATGCACTCCTATTCCTCGCTCACCCCACGGTATATAAGCCTACCCACTCCATGCATGTCAACAACGGACACCTCCCTCATTTCCACTTTACATTCTGTCCTCCCTAACAAAAACGAATAATAATAAAATGAATTAGAAACTGAGATTCAGAGGACGTTGACCATGCACTCCTATTCCTCGCTCACCCCACGGTACATAAGCCTACCCACTCCATGCATGTCAACAATGGACATCTCTGGACACTTCCTTCATTTCCACTTTACATTCTGTCCTCCCCACCTCCATTCTTGTTCCTCTAATTCCCAAGAAGATCCTTTCAGCTTTCCACACACAAATCCTGTCTATGGTTTAGTTTGACATGCAGCCTTCTCCAGGAAGCTTTCCTTGACTCACAAGCGGCCGACCTTTTGCCTCTTTCTTAGCCTCCCAGGGACTCCTATGGGCAATGGAAGTTCTCTCCTAGCACGATCCTGTCCCCTGCCTCCTAGGACCCCTAAGGGCTATTGAAAGTGCAACACCTCTCTTCCTTACCTGCTCACAGGGCCTACGACGCACCCCTGGAGGTGGCCCTAGGGCTCGTATGACTCCTGGCCGGGGCTGAGGGGGACTGTACTGGGGATAGGCCAGAGGTCGGGGATAGCCACTGGGTCCCAGGAAATGAGGCTGCACCATCCACTGCAATTCCTGGCTGCCACTCACAGCATTGATGCTTGGCACAAGGTGGAACTTCTGAGGAATAAGAACAGGGGATCAGTGATGAGGCAAATTGAGGGGCTTTCAAGAGACACAGGCTATACTTCTGTCTCCTCTCAATGCGGATACTGGCTTTGGGAGACCACAAGGAACACAATTGGGCAATCAGAAACTTGTTCATGAACTGTGTGACTTTGGGCAGGTCACAAAGTGTCTCTTTACCTCTGTTTGTCCCCATCAGAGATAATTCTTACCAAGTGTGAACTGTCCCTGTTCCCAACTACTTTATAAAGAATGACTCACACAGTGGGTACAATCGTATCTCCATTTTCAGACAGGATAACAGTTGACCACAGACCTACAGCCAGCAAGTAGAAACTGAGATTTGAGCCCAAATGGCTGGCCATTTTCAGACAGGATAACAGTTGACCACAGACCTACAGCCAGCAAGTAACTAGCTTGAGATTTGAGCCCAAATGGCTGACTTTTCTCACTCTTTCTTGCACCCATCCTCACAACAGAGGATGGGTGCAACTCTGAGAATTAAGTAAGGGAGTTTGTTGTTGTTGGGGGACTGGATCTCATGGAGCTCAGGCTAGACTCAAACTCTTGACCCTCCTGCCCCCACCTCCCAAGCACTGAGACTATACAGCAGCTCACGTGGCTTAGAATGTGCAATAGAGTCAGGTGCCCAATATGATGAACAAGGGCTATGTCTCAAGCATCAGCTCAGCCATTTACTGGCTTTGTGACTGGAACCAGTTATTTAGCCCCAATGTTTCTTCAGTTTCCTTGTTCTTAATATCATGCAACATTTCACTGCTGCTGAGAAGCTGGCTCTGCTAGCTCAGAAACCATGTTTAATCGGCTTTAATTTTTTTTTTTAATTTTAGAAACAGGATCCCTCTATTATGTAGCTTTGTACCAAATTTGTCTTGAACTCCCAGAAATTGGCCTGCCTCTGCCTCCACCTCCTGAATACTGGGATTAAAGGCATGCCCAATTGTCTATTTAAGATTCTGGAGGCTCAAAAGTGATGGGGTTTTTAAGTACAAAATAAGGTGAAGAGATGAAAAGCCCTTCATAGGAGGCCTGGCATTCTTTAGTTCTTTTTCTGCCAGAAATCTGAGGCATGTGTTGGGATTGGGGGGAGGGGTGGGGAGGATGGGGGGTGAGGTCTGGGTGTGTGTGAGTGTTCTGGGGCACAGACTGGGTTTAAGCCCTGTGAGCTAAGGGTGTGGGCTCCCTTCCGTCCAGGAAACACCTCACATGCCTAGGCAAGCCTGGACGGCTATGTCCTCAGCCCAGTACTGGGGGACACAGTAGCTCAGTGACCCCAGTTCTGGGCTAGAAGCATCGCTAGGGGCATCTCCCGCTCCCAGGTCGTCGGTCCCAGGGCGTTTGGGGCCAGGAAGGGAGGGGCACCCAGGGTGACTCAGCCACAGTGACTCGGTTCGCTGTGACTCGGCGGAACGGACGCAGCTCCTTCCCTCCCCTGGCAACACGTGCTCGTGGTCCCTCGACAGGAAATGGGCACCTGCAACCTCTCAAGTGTCCCTGGCCAGTAGTGGGAACCGTCGGGTGCTGAGAGTAAGGGGCGCGAGAGTGGCCTGGTGGATGACCCGGAGCATGTCCCGACACTTCGTGGTCTCCATTTGGCTTAGAGAGTGTAGTCAGTCTCCAGGAACCCCTCAGAGCCACTGCCTGAGGCCCCCGGGACTCCACTGCGTTCAAAAGGATGGGGACTTGACCAGGCAGAGGAACAAATTGGAAGCGACACTCGTACTTAGCCGCAGACAGACTGCTAAGGATTCGCTGTCCCGGCCGGGTTCTAATGAACCCCCCTCCCCCAAATCTCCCCTGTGCCCAAGCTCCAGGTCCCGGTTACTAAGCTGGAGATGGAGCGCTCCTCTGATCCAGCTCAGTTTTGGGTTGGGGCAGGTGGGACACTATTTAGGGGTAGACAAAAGGAAATAAAGACCGTAACGGAGACAGAGGGGTAGGTTGACAGTCAGCTAGGGAGATGCGGGCGGGCGAGAAGGGGGACTCGTAGATCTTCGCTCCTCCCGCTGCGCCTGTCCCCCTGGCCACGGGGGACACCGGTTCCTGGACAGCGCAGAACGTGCAGGATCCTCTGTCGCGCGGACGCTGCTCGGGGTTCCGGTCCCAGTCCCGGAGCAAACCAGACTAACTCCAGCATCCCCAACGCTGTCCAAACCCAGGTCCCCCTCCGGGGTCCGGCCAGCCTCACCTGATGCTGGGCGGTCTGCGCCTGAGCCTGCGGGGGCTGCGCGGGGCGACCGTACGCGCTGCCGGCCCCGGAGCTCGGTCCCGGTTCCCCGAAGTCTCGGTACATGCCCTGGGCTGGATGCTCGGTGGGGTCCGCGTCGGCGGCTGCGGTTCTGACTCACTGGAGCCTCGCGGAGTCTTGTCTTTTTTATGAATGAAAAGTTGTCGGGCTGAACCACTTGCACCGCGGGGGGTGGGGGCGTGTCGCAGCGGAGCCTTTCACCTCTCCGAGGGGGACCCACCTCTCCGAATGAGCCGCTGTGGGCTGGTCCGCACGGAACCTCACGACCCCCTGACTTGGTGGCCAGCCGCCTCTGCCGAGGGAAAGCGACCTACTTGGCGTCCCCTAGCCTCTGCGGTGGCCCCGCCCCCTCTGACGCAGCTGCCCATACATGGTGCAATTTCCTCGCCGCGCCCAGGTACAGCGAGGATTCCCCCTGACGCACCTAGCTGAGGTTGGGGCTTGCAGCTGCGCCCCGCCCCGTCTGGACTAGCCAAGGCTCCCAGCGCCATAAAACAAGGCGAAACAATCATGTAGCCGATAGAAGAACGGGAAAACTAGCAGGAAACTGTTGAAGTGAATTATAAATATGATGGATTATTGCTGTCATCATTATTTGCCTGGCACTGTCACCCAAGTCAGCCGTCCTGGTTTAAGGCCACTCCTCTGGAATCCGGGTGGGAAGTTTGTTTGATTAGAGTTTACTTTGTTGTTTGTTGAGGGAGATTGGTTAAGGCAGGGTCTCTGGTAACTTAGGCTGGCCTCTCTGGTGCTGGAATGTGCCCTCTCCTCCGCTGCTGTCCCCCCTCTCCCGGTTTTTTTTTTTTTTTTTTTTTTTTTTTTTTTTTTTTTTTTACATAGAGTCTCAGGTAGCCCAGGTTGGTCTTTACCTTCTGTGTCTTAGGATAGCCTAGAACTGCTGGTGTTTGCCTTCACCTCCGGAGTGGAGGGCAGATATTACAGGCATGTGCTACCACACCCCGTTTCAACTGGTGTCAAGGCCTCTGATAGACTAAAAAGTGAGTAAGTGACAAACCAGGGTTACAAAAATGTTCTTAGATTTTAACACTAAGTGAAATTCACTTAGTGTACCCACAGATAGAAAGCACTATAATTGTGTCTGGAGACTCCAGAGCTATCACAAGTTTTAATCTAAGTCTCTACAGGCAGAGAGAGCCTACAGAGGGACACAAGTGTCCTGAGATGCAATCAATGAGGCTTCTTGACTGGAGGCACTCCTCCAGGACTGTGTGTGTCACCAACCTTCTTTGAAAGTATGTGAAAGGTCTTTGTGAGGGTGAGGCCCTGGCCAAATGTGCTGGGGAGATAGGTGCCATCATAACCCCCACTTTACAGATGGGGAAAACTGAGGTTGACAGCTATTGAAATGAGTTGCCTAAGGCCACCACTGAGTAAGTGGCTGAGTCTGGTGACCAAGTCAGGCCATCATAGCTTTGAGCCCTCACACTGTACATACATGTAGAATGTCAGGCTGCCAAAGCTTCCCTTCTCGGCTTCCTTGCATTTCAACGGAAACTGAAGAAGTTTCCCCTCAGAGAAGCATGGTCCTAGGCTGTCTTCTTTGGGAACAGAAGCCTGGTGGCCAGAGTGGCTCTGGGTTTCTAGTCATAGAGCTATACTTTGTGTCTGTGTGACCCAGGCAGATCACCTTCCTGAGTCCCGGATGGGCCTCTCTGTTGATCACACAGGGCTGCTATGGGACCCAAGGAGACCACAGATGTGGAAGTGTTTTGCTTTCGCAGCATCTGCAGAAGGTCACCAGCCTAGTGCCTTTCCCTTGCTCCAATTCTATGAAATGCCTGTCTTCCTGGAGAGAAATCATAGCAGTTTGCCAGAAAGAGAAATGCAGGTGTGTGCATGGGGTGGGGGGTAGAGGAGGGAGAGAGAAGAGTCTTGGGAGCAGTGAGACCACAGAAAGAATATGAATACGTACATGGTGGACTCAGAAAGCTCTGGGTTCTGGGTTTGAATTCTGGACAGGCTGACCATCCACTGCATGTCCTGGATGACTCACCCAATCTCTCTGAGCTCCTGTTTCCTCGTTTGTGAAATGGAGACATAGTGATAACTACGTCTCAGGATTGCTGGAGATATACATACGATAACGTCACAGAAACAGGTGTGGTAGTGGTGGTGGTGGTAGTGAACGCCTGTGATGCCAGAGTGCTGGAAGTAAAGGCAGGAGCACAGGAGACGTTCAAAGTCTGCATCTGCTACAAAATGAGTTCAAGGACAGACTCTGTCTCAAGAAACAAAACATGGCTGCAGAGATAGCTCAGCAGGTCAAAGTGCTTGCCACAACAGGCCTAACCACCTGAGTTTGCACCCTGGAGCATATGGTGTCAGGAGAAAACGGATTCCCAAAAGTTGCCCCGATCTCCTCATGAGTGTTGTGGGACATTGCACTCTTGCATGTGCACACACTCATGCTTGAATGTGAGTACACACACACACACACGCACACACACACACACACACACACACACACACACACACACCACTGATCTTTGAATTCTTTGGCTGACCAGAGCTGGACAGATGACATAAGCAGCCAGGTGTTGGCACATAGGAGAACTGACCTGGGTCCAACCTGACTGCATACATCCTCCTGCTACAAAAGAGATTACCCTGCCTTCTCCTCACACTGTAGCAGCAGAGCAGGGCCCAGGACTCCAGTGCAGTGTGTGTACGTGACTTGAAAGTCCCTTCCTGCTCTAACCGTGGGGCCACAAGAGGCCCTTTCAGAACCAGCACATTCCAAGCTCCTCAGTCATTAACTCCTGCCTTGCGGTTGCACAGACGTTCCCCAAGCCTGACCTCACCAGCTCCCAGCCAGGGAGCTGGAGGAGAACCCCCGGTTCTGCAGTGACTACTGGGAAGTCACTGTCCCTGGGTTTCTGTGTGTGCTTGGCTCAGTGGCTTCCCATCAGTGAATCCAGAGAGTCCCTACCTCTTGAGCTGCAGTGAGGCCAAAGGAAGCAACCGATGAAAGTTTGCAGTTTTGTAGGTTCTCTGGGCTACTAGGGAGTTGGAGGTGATGTTTGTGTTTTGCAGTTTCTATTCTCTTCTTAAATTGAAGTTTACTTTCTTAATTGGGGTGAAATTCACAAAACATACAATTAACCATTTTATGTGTACAGTTCAGTGTCATTTAGTGCATTCACAATGCTGTGTAACTACCACCTCTCTCTGGTTTCAAAACTTTATTGGTTTAGAAAAACACCCTGTGTCCATTAAGTAATCACTCCCAATTTACTCCTTGCCCCATCCCCTGGTAACCACTAATCTTTCTGTGGATGTGGCTTGCCCATTCTGAACATTTCACGTAAATGGAGTTACACACTATGTGATCTTTTCTGTCTGGCGTCTTTCAGCATAAAGACATTCAAGGCTCATTTGTGTTTTCCCTTGGATTTGATAACTTGCTGGCGTCTTTCAGCATAAAGACATTCAAGGCTCATTTGTGTTTTCCCTTTGATTTGATAACTTTTTTTTTTTTTTTTTTTTTTTTTTCCGAGACAGGGTTTCTCTGTGGCTTTGGAGGTTGTCCTGGAACTCGCTCTTGTAGACCAGGCTGGTCTCAAACTCACAGAGATCCGTCTGCCTCTACCTCCTGAGTACTGGGATTTAAGGCTTTCCGAGTACCAGTCTTTGTGAGGACAAAGGCTTTCATTTCTCTCAGGTGTTTGCGTTGGGTGGAATTGATGCATCTCCCTTGGGAGCCTCCAGACAATATTCCATAGCAGCTGTGCCACTACACATCTTCCCCAGCACTGTGTGGGGCTTGAATTTCTTCAAATCATAGCCAACCCTAGTTAGTTTCCAAATGGGGATTTAAAAATGAAAGAACTGGGACTTGAGAGATGGCTCAGCAATTAAGAGGATTGGCTGTTCTTCCAAAGGACACAGGTTAAATTCCCAGCACCCATATGTTGGCTTACAACAGTCTAACTCCAGTTCCAGGGAATCCAAGAGCACCAGGGACCTGTGTGGTATACAGACACACATATAGGCAAAACACCCAAACACATAAAATAAATACATAAATTAAAGACTAGTGGATGCAAAGTGTTACCTCATTGGGTTTTGATTTGCATTTCCTTAATGAGCAAAGAATACTCTCATGTGTTTGTTTTTTTTTTTTTTTTTTTTTTGGTTGTTGTTGTTTTGAGACAGGGTTTCTCTGTGTTCCTGGCCATTCTGGAACTCACTCTACAGACTAGGCTGGCCTCAAACTCAGATTTTCCTGCCTCTGCCTCTGGAGTGTACCACCACCTCTTGGCTTGTTGGCCTCTTATCTACAGTATCCATTCTAGTCCTTTGTCCATTTCTGTGATCAGAGATTATTTTCTTTTTGTAAAACAGGGTATTACCTAGCCCAGGCTGGCCTCCAACTTCCTATGTAGGTAAGGAGGATCTGCCTTCCAGGTGCTGGGGTCATAGCTGTGGGACACCACGTTTAGTTTTTTTTTTTTTTTCTTTAAAAAATTGAGATATGCAGTAGTTTTTTGTATATTCTAAATATAAACTTTGTGATTTGTAAATGTTTCTTTTTCATTATATTGTGTTTGTTGAAGGGCAGGGTCATGATATGTAGCCCAGGCTGACCTTTGACTCATAATTCTCCTCCTTCCACCTCCCCAATGATTGTATTACAGGCGTATTCCATGACATCTGGCTCTTAGCTGTCTTCACATTTTTTATTATATTTGTATTTATTTTGTGGGCATAGCTATTGTGTGGAGGTCAGAGGACAACCTGAGAGAGTTGTCCTCTCTGTCCCTCCTTCCATCATATGGATCCTAGGGACTGACTGAACAAAGATCATCAGGCAGAAGAGCAGGCTCCTTTATCTGTTGAGCTATCTCACTGGGCCCTTCCTATAAACACAGGCACACACACACACACACACACACACACACACACTTTGGATATGGTGGCACACACCTTTAACCCAGTACTCCAGAGGCAGAGGCAGGCGGATCTCTATGAGTTTACAGCCAGCCTGATGAGTTCCAGGCAAGTCAGGGCTACATAGCGAGACCCTGTCTGGAATAAAATTATGCACCTGTGTGTCTATTTGTATACATATATGTGTAGAAGATGCTTTTAGACCTCTGTGTGTTTTAGGCGGATCTGTTTATAAAGTTCAGATTTTCTGGTCCTCCTTTTCTCATGCCTCAAGTTCTGGAATGCTAGAATTACACGTATGTATAACTATGCCTGGGATTATATGTATGTGTCACTATGCTTGGGATGATGTCCTTTTGTTGTTGTTTGTTTTATTTTGGA